TCGACTTTGACAAGGTCTTGATTGTCCAAGTCCTCTGCCTCACCTGTCTTACATCACCTCGTTCTTCCAGTCAACACGGCTTCTCGCATGGAGAGTAATTCACTCCCAGGTAGAATCCAGTCCTCGGAAGTCTTCTCCAAACTACTGCAACAGCAGGCTCCTCACATTGAGGTAACTTGCAGAGGGAAGATTCCAATCAAGGGGAAAGGTAAGCCATTTTGCCTGGACCCATACGCCCATTATTTGTAGTAAGAACATCGGTCTTTCTCACGTCTGATGCATTTCCTTTGCTGCAGGCGAAATGAAAACCTACTGGATTGGACTGGAAGAAACGGAGAAGATGGCACATCGACAGCCACCCGAGGAAGCAGCGCCTGGAAAGCCTTCGGCGCCATCTCAAGACAACAACTTGGGGGACCCAGTCAAACCAACTGCAAAGGAAACGTTCTTGACCGAAATAGAGTGCTGAGCGTTTGTCGCGTGCTGGAGGTTGCAATCGAAAATTGGTGCCCGCAGCTATTGCCTGCCAGCAGCTAGCTAGATAAAGGCTGCTCAAAATGAATTTATTTTAGCTCGCTGAACTATTCCAATGCATTGCATAGTTCCGGTTTTGTCAAATTCTAAAGGAGAGTTATTCTGTTGTTCTCAAAAGATGCCCCAACCGGAAAAGCCAATGACGAAAGGAAGCACATTTTGCTGATTCCGGCCGTCTGACGGTCAACCGTCAACCGGAATCTAGCCTCCACCCATCTACAGATCTACAGATATACAGAGACAACAAAGTAGCTTTTCCTCATAATCTTATAACATCATTCGTAATACATCTATCGCTACCTTTAGTCTCTTCAACAGATGTTATAAGATCCTTCTATACAACCGATACCACCACCGATCCGCCACACTGATCGACCCTCTATCCCTCGACGAACGCCGCACCTCTATCGATCGAACGGCACGACGCACCTCTATCGCTCGACGAACGCCGCACCTCTATCCTCGACGAACGCCTCGACGAACGCCGCACCTCTATCCTCGAACGAACGCACCTCTATCGACGAACGCACCTCTATCGACGAACGAACCTCTATCTTCGAAACGAACCTCTATCCTCGAACGAACCTCTATCCTCGAACGAACCTCTATCCTCGAACGGAACGACACTGATACCGCACTGATACCGCTACCAGCTGATACCGCTACTAGCCAACAAACACCAACACCAACCTACAATACCACTACCCACACATACACCACCTAGACACACAGGCCTTAAACGTCCGACAAAGGAAAC